TATATTTATTAATAATTAATATACACAAATAAAAAACAGAAAACAAAATGAATAATATATATTTATTAATAATTTATATTAATTAAAATATAATATAAATAAATAAATAAAACAGAAAATAAAATAAATAATATATATTAATTAAAATTTTCTTTAATTAATAATAAAATAAAAAGTAATAATCACAAAAAAACAAAAAAACACAAAAATTTATAAAACATAAATGATTAAAGTCTATTTAGAGGTGGCATTAGCACATGATAGGGTGCCATTAGCCACCCCTTATATTTATTTGTAAGACTTTACGTTGTTTAATGTGATGCATGATTTAATAAAATATTTAAATAATCAACAAAATCTTAAAACTAACTCTGATATGACACTTGATAGAAGTTCCAAATAAATACTATATTTTATTGATGCTTGCTGATTGGTGTATATATATGCATATATGTTTATGTATATAAAGAAAGTTTACATTACAAACTACGTTATTTGTATAAATCATACAAAACTCATTCAATTAATTATAATTTTTAATTTTGTTTATTTTTTTGTAATTATGAGAAGTTGGTTAATCATTTTTATTGTGGATGGTGTTAATCATGAATATTATCATTTTTATTATATTAATTATAGAGAAATATATGAAATAGTTTCATTAAAATTTCATAAGTATTATATGAAACAATTTCATAACCATATATGAAACAATTTTATCAGAAAAAATATTAGATGAAAAAATTTCATAATATTAAACAATGAAATCGACGGATGAGGGTGGTTTGCACAGTTTGTACAAATATGAGTGGTTTGCATTTGATTGCTCCTCTATGTATATATGTATATGTGTGTGTGTGTGTATATATATATATATGTATGTATGTATCAATGTATGTATGTAAGGTTGGGTTCATGTGAGACCAAGGGGTTTTTCGTGAGACCCATAAGATCAATTTATGTTCATTGATCAACTTTATAAGCTAATGATCTAATGGTCTAAAGTTGCACGGTGGCAATTTTGTGATTATTGAGAAGTCTCGTGGCGTTTATGAATGTTCAGATTGTCAGATTGTAGATCTAATCCAAGGGTTGAGAATTTGTCTTACGGGTCTCACGAAAAACATTTAGTCTCACATGATCCCAAGTCTATGTATGTATATACATGTGTGTGTGTGTATATATATATACATATATATATATATAGAGAGAGAGAGAGAGAGACCTGGGATCACGTGAAACCACTTTTTTATACTTGAAATTTCACAGCAAAATGCTATGAAGGTAACCTTTACAGTGTTTTTGCTGTGAAGGCTCGGTTTTTTATCTTCACAGCGTTTTGCTGTGAAGTTTCAAGTGTAAAAAAATGGTTTCATAAGTCTTACGAAAACATGTTAATCTCACATAAACCCAACCCTATGTGTGTGTATATATATATATATATATATATATATATATATATATAATGATATTTAAAAAAGAAATGTCTTGGGATAGCCATGCAAACTTTTTACTTTATTAAACTAAATGATTATTCATAGATTTATGGAAGTGAAATGATGATGCATTTTGTGGTTCTATTTCACACACTCCTATATGCAAAAGAGATAGGGGGACCCTATGGAAAAGCGTACCCTAAAGTCAATATATTTTTATCCACATCCCAGGGAATCCAAGGATATGTCATATTTATCCTTTCGGTTTATGTAACACCAGCTTGTTTTTATTACAGTATAGGTGAACGATTACCAAGGTATACAGATGAACAATCACAAAGGTGCTCATCAACTTTTCATTTTTTTACGGTTTTTCCCTAAACCTAACCTTTTATATATTTATATATAGGTGAGAGTTCAAGCGAGAACCTTTATATTTTGTGAAAATGCGAGATCAATCGTGGGTTTCCAACTTAATTAACCTATAATTTACATTATAATAAATAAAAATAATGGGTTGTTTACTTGCGGCTTAATTAAGCTTATTGGTCTATCTGCTTTTTCGCACAACTCATTTGTGTTGTTTACTTATGGCTTATTCGCGCAGAACATGGCTTAATCGCACAGATAGAAATGGTGTGTTGTCCTCATTTAGCCACAAAAATGATACCCCTACTCCTTATTTAAAGCACCACCTCCTTCCCATATGATAATTGTGTGATTCACCCTGTGCTCAATCGTGATGCGAACTCGGTCGCCTAATCCGTGATACAAATCGTGGTAATTGCGTGATAATCGAACATGATCATGCAAGAAACTCGAGTATAAAGTTATCGTGAAGGGAAGGTCGAATAGTCTGATAATCGTATGATATAGAAGGCCGACCAGTTTACTCTAAGCTTGTTGATGTGATAATCGTGTGATAGTCGAACATGATCATGCACTAATCGTGCC